AAAAATCATCATCTGCATCTCTTGACCGTGGGACCGTGTAATCCGGGCTGGGAGACATGGCTATAGGCTGTTCTAGTTATATGCACAAGCTCACCGCATGTGGCCATCACCCTAAGACTTTGTACTAGCAGATAACATGGTGTATTTGATGTGCTTTTTCAAATGCTCTAACTAATTTATTGCTTGGTCATTTCCTCTCCAAGAAAGAAAAGCACTACTGTTGTGGACTCAAAGGCTACATGGACTTTCTAGGTAAAATGCAATTTAAAACCGTCTGTTTTTATGAGTGAAGGTTAAGTCATAGTGATTTGATTAGCGCCATTTTTTCTATATTTAATATTGATATGTTTATTATTCATATTGTTCATTCTTGAATGTTTAATTTTAATATAATTGTAATATATCATATAATAAAATATAATAATGGTATATTATATGTATATTGTCCGAGAATTACTTGCACATTTTTTAAAGGTTAGATAATTTCTTTAAACCAAAGCGCAGCGCAACAAATTTCGCAAAGTAAGTAAATGCAAAATGATTAAGGGGTATCAAATTTTGTGCGAACCAGTATGTGAATGGAAGTGTATCAAATACCGCCTATCTAGAAGGGAATTAACAGCAAAAGCAAATCAAAAATATGATAACCGTATGTAATATAGTTACATTGTGGACTGCAGACGACTGGGAACAAACCGCCGTTTTTGAATGATGCGCCGTATGACGTGATTCATCAACGAAACTCTAACAAAGACGTTGTTTGGACTCCAAGTCGTAACATGCCTGAGAATTTTGAACTTCAAAAGTTTAGCCCTACTGTCAAGATGCGGGGACCAATGCATTTTAGCAGGCTCTGCGACTTACACACTGTACCACGGGATCAAACAATTAATAATGCATATGATAAAAAATAGGTCCTACAACAAAACCCGTTTTAAAGAATAAAAAAAAATCTGTCAGAATGTCCAAATTCATAAAAATCAACAATTAATAAATAGTTAAAGAGTTCGTTTATAATATTTGTTCAAGGTAAAGTTGGTTTAATTATTAAATCCTTGTTTTCCTCGTGTTATGCAGACAGCCCTAGAATGCCAAGGCCCTGTTGTTCAGTGGACGGTAACGAGCTAACGGAACCATGTACCTTCACCCTTGCGGCCGCAATGACCCCCACGGTACCGGGTTGTAAGGATAGGATCGAGTTTTACGTTGATCTCATCAGACCCCGCTTCGCAGTAGCTCCTGTCTCCTTTCTCATCCCTCCGGTAAGATTGGTTAAAACGAAAGCCTTGAGCCAAACCTAAAACACACATAAGTAAACTCATTCACTTCCTATGATAAGGTCATAATAAAAAATTTAGGAGAGGAAAATCCGCATGCACAGAACTATAATTTGGCAGAATAAGTACTTTGGTAAACTGTAGCCTACTGGGTGAATTTTCGACACTGGCTCACCAGGTCGTCGTCAGGCGTATTTTAATTTTAAGAAACACTTCCCGTCTATCTGATGACGACCTGGTGAGCCAGTGTCGAACATTCACTTAAGAAACCACAGTTTACCAAATTGATTCTTTTACCGAAAGTAAGAATTAGTAGATGCCTACTGTCTGCAAATGTACAGGGTTAAAATTGGACTTAACTGGTTATTTTTTTGTTATCATTTTTTCGGTTACTGACGTAATAAAAGAGAAAGCGAGAAAAAAGGTTTTCTTTAAATTTTGCATACCAAGTG